GTCCAGACTCCAGTCTCAGCAATGACACTTTATCCCTATACAACAGTAAGTGGTATGGCGGGTTCTTAGACCTGGTAGAACCAAATAATGTAGTTTGTCCAAGAACTTTCCATGGAAATAGTAATAGAGCAGTGAAAAGCTTGCCATGTCCCACCTGTGAAAGAGAGGTTGGATGGTGGAAGATAATTCTTCTCAGAGACTCTTTTGCACTCTACCAAAACTGAAAAGTGAGGACTCGACAGGTTCTACCCAAATATGGTACTCCATTTTTGGCCTGATTGATCTTTTATAAAGTTAGAGGATAGTATGAGAAGTCAGGTACTTACTGGAACGGTACAGTGAGCCAATTATTTTACCTGCATCTTTAGCAATGGATCATACATAACAGTTGAGGTTGCACTTGAGGTTTGAGGCCCAATATTCTTTTAAGTCATGGTGCCTCCTTGAGGGGACATCGTGGCCAACAGTAGTTCGGGGCCTGATTGGCAGTAATGGAATATAACTAGTAAAATCCTGACCCCTTGACATTTTCATTTATTTTGTTTACAGTTTTGTCTTTGGAATGCAACAGTGGTTGCAAAAGAAAAGAATGGTCTTGCCTGTTCAGCTGATGCCAATCAAAAGGCTGTTTTATCCACTGTCAGTCTTGACAGAGGTTAGGGGTTGTTGGAAGAGCAATGGTCATTATAATTATGATCGAGATTCAGATGTTGACTGGTAAATAAGCCAAGCAGAAAAACTAGGACAAGGCAATCATTTTCTTGGGGGAACTAAAAGTCGGGACGGCTTGTATAGTTAGAAATTACCTTTGAGAAACATGTTGCTTGAAGCTTTCTTTAGAAGAAGAACATCAAAATCAATATGAAAACAGTGTTAATACCTGCTCTCTATAATTTCTTTTCTCTCGCTATCCTCTCTCACTCACTCTCTCTTACTATCTCTCTAAATTTCTCTCTCTCTCTCTCTCTCTCTCTCTGTGTTCCGTTTCCAAGACCAACCTTGGTTAAGCAACTGAAACTAAGAATAGAAACAAAAACAAAAAAATGGAAAGAAAAAAAAGATTATCTTCTCTTGATTGCAGTTTGTAAAATAAACTAAACAAGACATAAATAATTTGGATGGAAATGGTTGTGGTGGAAGGATTTGGGGTGTAAAAGAGGTGGCAGAGAAGAGTTATGGCTTAATAGGTGTAGGGAAGCAGTTGTAAGTAGATGGTTGCATGATAATAGTGGTGGTGATGAAGAAAATTTTAATAGTAAAGTTGATGCAATAGGAGGCTCAAGAGCCACTTATGGAAGAAGATTACTGAATGAAGTGCACAAAATATTTGGGCCACCTTGGTAAATTAATTACTTTTGTTAATTTTAACCTACAATCAATAGTGATTAGAATTATTCTTTTCCCAGTACATCTTATAATCTTTGAGGGACAACTTACTGTATTTCCATCAATGTTGTATGGTGAATGATAGCGTATCTTAAGAAATGTGATGCTAAAAAAAGGCTATGTATAAATACTGGGCTACCATAAAAAAATTCACCTATCAGCTGTTTTAACTTAAGAAAAGAAATGAAAGTTGAAATTACTCAGTTAAAAATAATGATTTCCTTTTTGTGAAAATTTATCTTTATTATTAAAGAAAGTACAAATCTTCAAAGTTTGGAATTACTGATTAGTGTTGTTGTCTTTGGCTAAAATAATTGCCTCAATTAAAATGTGGCATTTAATGGAACAAGTCCAGATTTTCTCATTGGGAGTTCTTTCTCATTCTTCTTGTAAGGAATCCCAAAGCTCTTGGAGATTGTGTGGTTTTTGTTGGAGCACTTATTTCATCAGTTCCCACCCCAATTTGTTCAATTATATTGAAATCAGGACTTTGTGCTGGTCAGTTTTCTAAAATTTGAACATCTTCATCCACAAGAAACCAATTTGTTGCATGTAATGTGTGGCAAAGTGCACCGTCATATTGAAAGAAAATACTCTCCATCTAATTGTCTGGTAGAAGATTAATAAAATAATATAGGTTTAGGTTTCTATCAACTTTTAACAATTTTCTTTTACCATAGCTTTTGATGCAATCCCACCTTGATTAATTAATTTTGTTAATGTTACCCTCAAATCGAGAGTGATTAGCAATATGCTCTTTGTTTATTTTTTATGATCTTTGAGGCCCAGAAAAAAAGTTATTGTATTTTTGTTAATGATGTGGAGTGTATCAATGATAGTGATGCTGAAATAAAAGACCATTCAAAAATATTTGGCCACCAATGATAATTTTACCATTCAGCTCTTATCTCTATCTATAAAAGGCAAGATGTGTGTGTGTGTGTGTGTGTGTGTGTGTGTGTGTAACGAATGCACGGCCACAATTTTCGATAGATTTGCACCAAAATTTGCATGCACAGTCTCCAAGTTAGTGGAAAGGCTAAGACTGACTTTGCATTTCCCAACTCCCATCAATAGTGAAAATAATCGATTTTTTCATGCTTCTATGGCAGTTTTCATGTAGTTTGCAGCCATTTTGTACTGGCCAGAGTGAGGGCCTATAGCTGGCTGCCATGAATAGGCAGGAAGATTCTATTGGCCAGTGTGAGAACCAACAGCTGACTGACACAAATGTTAACTAGCATGATAGCATGCAAAAGAAAAAATTGATAGTTGCATTCATTACAAGTGGGAAAAATTTAAATCTGCATGGGATTTTACTCTAATTGGCTCATTCGCTTGCTTAAACTCAACGTTGATTCTGATTCCGCAGAACTGGGTTGGGTGTGAAAAAGTATTTATTGTTAACATTCTTTTTTCATTAGGTTTTTCCAGTTACGAGTCCCTTTTTAAAGCTGATTGTTTTGTGTTCATTTTGTTTAGTTTTTTTTTCGTAACATAATTTAATGTTTAGTATAGAGCTTAGAAAAAATTTGCAGTGTGAGATAGGCAAGAAGTAAGCCATGTAGCAACATCAGCATGGCAAAGGGCACTCCTTTAAAGGCAAGGAAGGGCAAAAATATTTTAAGTCCAGTGATAGCGATTGCTGTATGAGTTGTACGATTTTTGAATCAAGCACGGGCAATGCCAGGTCATGCTGCTAGTATATATATATATATATATATATATAGTCATCGAAAGACAGACTGTTTCACTGCATCACAGCACATCATTGTGTCTAGACATCTGATTGCTTCAAGCTGGGATTAGAACCTGATTGATTTGGCATCAGCCAGAGATTCTACCCCCAAGCTATCATTGCATGGCAGAGTGGAAGGAAAATTTTAAAGTTTTTACTATGTGAAAGATGTCAGTAGCTGGGAGAGCTTGATTTGAATAGAAGAACATTGCATTAGCAGCCACTTTTTATAAAATCACCCCTTCCTCTCCGAGAGCTCAATCAAATTATTTCGAGAGCATAAATAGCTATATATATATATATATATAGTGTTGACTAAGTGTTGACTTCTATGTTCACTTTTATATATATATATATATATAGCTAAATAGATATATATATATATACATATATATAGAATGAGATAGATAGATAGACAAATAGTAGCGAACAAAATGGAGGGGACAGATAAATATGGAAGTAACTGGAGAATCTTATCTGAAATGTGGGACATTATTTTTATTAACTATCTGTACCTGAAAACCAAAACAATTTGTTATTTGATAATTCTACCAACTTAACCAGTAAACATATGTTTGGCCACTTTTTAATAGATCTATAATCTATGCATGAGATTAGCTGCCATTTTTTTAAACATCTGCTCCATTTTAGATTTCAGTGTTGCGATATATTTTAATTAGTCCCAATTCATCTAAGTTTATCACTGAATCTCCTTGTAAATTCTTGAATTAACCCAATGGTTACAGCTCAAGTTTCATTTCTCAAAGCTTTCTGACACACTATCAATTGTTGAACAGTCTAGCGTACTGTATATTTCATAAGTATTTTAAAACTGTATAAAGCAGGCAACTTTTCTCACTGCTAAAAATTTGCCTTTTCTTGGAATTTTGTGTATAAAGTTTTTCTAAAATTATTTGACAGAGTATTTCCACTGTTTTATATAGTTTTCTGATTACTGTTTTTTTTTTAACTGGCAGATTTGAATTAGACAGATATATTCTTCAGCTTTATCATATTATCTGAAGTACTGAGATGAAGTCTTTTCCCTATACTATATATATATTTTAAGTCTTCTGTTTTAATCACTGTTTGTACAAGAATTTGGTAGATATATTAAATGGACGGAAAAGAATAGTGAAATGAAAATGATGAAGAAGAGAGAGAAAGAGATGAAGTTAAATGAATGAGAAAGAAAGAAATAAAAAGATAAAGGAAAGAGAATCAAAGAGAGAAGGGTTAAGAAAGACAGATGAGGTTAAATGAAAGAGAAAAGAAGATATTAGGAAGATAAATGAAGAGTAAAAAGAGAACAGAAAGATGAAAGAGAAGGAAAATGAGATGAAAATGATAAGAAAGTAGAAGTGGGAGTTGAAGTTAAATAAATGAGAAAAAAAGAAATAAAAAGATCAATGAAAGAGAGAGAGAGAAAAAAATGAGAATTATAATGATAGGAGAGAGAGATAAAGTTAAATAAAAAAAGAAAGAAATGAAAACATGAATGAAAAAGAAAAAAAAGAAAGAGATTAAATTAAAAGGAACAGAAGAAATAAAGAAGGTAAATGAAAGAAAGCAGAAGAGAGAGATGAGAAATTAAGAGAGAGAGAGAGAGAAAGATGAAGTTAAATGTAAGAAAAGGAAGAAATAAAAAAGATAAATGACAGAGAGTAGAGGAGAAAGTGAGATGAGAAAGATATTGAAGAGAAAGAGAGAGAAGGAATGATAAAGAAGGTGAATAGAGAGATGAATTTAAATGAAAGTGTGAGAAAGAAATTGTAATAATGGATGAAAATGAAAGAATAAGAGAGAGAGAGAGAGAGGAATTTAAATGTAAAAGAAAAGACAAAAATGAAAAAGATAAATGGAAGATAAGATAAAGTTAGATGAAAGAGAAAAGAAGAACTGACAATGATGAATGAAAAAGAAAGAGAAGACAGGAAAATAAATGAAAAAGAAAAGAAGAACTGACAATGATAAATGAAAGAGAAGGCGGGAAAATAAATGAAAGAGAAAAGAAGAACTGACAATGATAGATGAAAGAGAAAGAAAGAAAGAAATGAAAGAGTAAAGAAGAACTGACAATAATAAATGAAAAAGAAAGAAATGGCAGGAAAATAAATGAAGGAGTAAAGAAGATCTGACAATGATGAATGAAATAGAAAGAGAAGGTGGGAAAATAAATGAAAGAGAAAAGAAGAACTAACAATGATAAATGAAAGAGAAAGAGAATGCAGGAAAATAAATGAAAGAGAAAAGAAGAACTGACAATGATAGATGAAAGAGAAAGAAAGAAAGAAATGAAAGAGTAAAGAAGAACTGACAATGATAAATGAAAAAGAAAGAAATGAAAGAAATGAAAGAGTAAAGAAGAACTGACAATGAAAATAAATGAAAAAGAATGAAAAATAAATGGAAAAGAAGAACTAAAATAAATGAAGGAAAATAAATGAAAGATAAATGAAGGACAATGATGAATGAAATAAAGAAAGAAAGAAAATGGGAAAATAAATGAAAGAGAAAAAAGAAGAACTAATAATGATAAATGAAAAAGAGAAAAAGAATGCAGGAAAATAAATGAAAGAGAAAAGAAGAACTGACAATGATAGATGAAAGAGAAAGAAAGAAAGAAATGAAAGAGTAAAGAAGAACTGACAATAATAAATGAAAAAGAAAGAAATGGCAGGAAAATAAATGAAAGAGTAAAGAAGATCTGACAATGATGAATGAAATAGAAAAAGAATGCAGGAAAATAAATGAAAGAGAAAAGAAGAACTAACAATGATAAATGAAAGAGAAGGCGGGAAAATAAATGAAAGAGAAAAAGAATGCAGGAAAATAAATGAAAGAGAAAAGAAGAACTGACAATGATAAATGAAAGAGAAAGAAAGAAAGAAATGAAAGAGAAAAGAAGAACTAACAATGATAAATGAAAGAGAAAGAGAATGCAGGAAAATAAATGAAAGAGAAAAGAAGAACTGACAATGATAAATGAAAGAGAAGGCGGGAAAATAAATGAAAGAGAAAAGAAGAATGAAAAATAAATGAAATAAATGAAAAGAAAAAAGAACTGACAATGATAAATGAAAGAGAAAGAAAATAAAGAAATGAAAAAATAAATGAAAGAACTGACAATAATAAATGAAAATGAAAGAGAATGCAGGAAAATAAATGAAAGAGAAAAGAAGAACTGACAATGATAAATGAAAAGAAAGAAAGGAAAGGAAAAAGAAAATAAATGAAAATGAAAAGAAAGAGAATGCAGGAAAATAAATGAAAGAGAAAAGAAGAACTGACAATGATAAATGAAAGAGAAAGAAAGAAAATAAATGAAAGAGAAAAGAAGAACTAACAATGATAAATGAAAGAACTAAAATGAAATGGCAGGAAAAAAATAAATGAAAGAGTAAAGAAGATCTGACAATGAATGAAATAGAAGAGAAGGTGGGAAATAAATGAAAGAGAAAAGAAGAACTAACAATGATAAATGAAAGAGAAAGAGAATGCAGGAAAATAAATGAAAGAGAAAAGAAGAACTGACAATGATAAATGAAAGAGAAGGCGGGAAAATAAATGAAAGAGAAAAAGAATGCAGGAAAATAAATGAAAGAGAAAAGAAGAACTGACAATGATAAATGAAAGAGAAAGAAAGAAATGAAAGAGAAAAGAAGAACTGACAATAATAAATGAAAAAGAAAGAAATGCCAGGAAAATAAATGAAAGAGTAAAGAAGATCTGACAATGATGAATGAAATAGAAAGAGAAGGTGGGGAAATAAATGAAAGAGAAAAGAACTAACAATGATAAATGAAAAAGAAAGAGAAGGCAAGAGAATAAATGAAAGAGAATTTCATAAACTATAATTAGAAGTATTCATTACTATTTCTCTAGTAGTCGTGTCTCCAAGGTCAGGCTTTATTTAGCCTCCAGCTGTATCAACTGTTATTTATATGGTGGAGATTTGCATATGAATCCTACATTCTGTCCCACATTTTTTTTTTGATAGTATAAATTTGTAATACTTTATTTCGGTAAAAGAAATTTTTTTTTTTAAGCATTCAACCTCAAGCAAGTCGGGAAGCCACTAGCACGCAACGGGTTACAGAGTTGGAGCGAGAACAAAGAGGAGTAATAGAGGAAAGGATGAAGAGACAGTTAGGGGATATATCAGGCCATCTGGAGATGTCGATTGACGTTACATTTGAATAGTTGGAGATTATAGGTATCAGGAAAACAAGAAATGGGGAGGGAGTTCCACAGGTGAGAAGTGCGAGACATGAAGCTATTGGAGTAGAAGAGACGGCTACATTTAACATTTTCAACAGTGAAAGGGTGAGAGTGCGATGTCAGCCTAGTTGAACGCTTAAATTCATGAAGTCTGGGAACCAGCGAAAGCAGCTCATCGGAGCAGTTAATGGAATGCAGTTTAAAAAAAACTTAACCAAATTAATTCAATTTTTTTTTAGTGTTGAATACCGAATCGTTTAGGTTCTTTGGTGATACACTTAGAGCACCTTAGAGGATTTGGTGGGGGGGGGACATTTTTGCAGTATTTGAGCTTGGAGAGTTATATGTTCAAGTTCATTTGAATCACTGGACACTGGTTGCAATACAGTATCTTCTGATTTTGGTATGCTGTTTCCATCCAAATCCAGTACAGAGCTATTTGAGACAAAGTTAACTGCTTCAGGCTTGGAGATTGTCGTTCCCTCCCCAGCAAGAGTGAGATGACATAGAGAAACAGTACTTTCTTTCCTATTTGGTAACTGTTGAAGCTTGGATAAGCATGGAATAATAATAATACAACACAAAATGTACGTAAACAAAATGTATTGAAACAAGGAAAAGGTACACAATATTTACAGTGAGTTTTGGTATATTCTTGGGAAGACTGTTCCTGTAGAATGGGTTGACTTAATCACAGTCGGGCAGAGTCTCTGGATTGGATCTCTTGTTACTTCCCCTCGTCTTCCTGGTACCAACCCATATTTATATGGTCGGTACTCCAATATGTAAATCAGGTGGATCGTACCACAACAGTAACCTAACAAAAGCATAATCAGTATTCGCCTGAATCTGCTTGACATCATGTATAGTAGCTTCATACTTCTTATTCTGAACATAGTTTCTCATGAGCACTTTCCTAGGAATTGTCAAAAGGAACAGATCTTCTGGAAATAGATTTTCTCAGATAAGAAAACATCGACTCATGAGGAGTACAATTTGTGGCTGTACACAGTAAGGCACAAATTGAGTGGAGATGCACAAGTATGGCGGAGTAATGGATAGAGGCTCAGACTACGGAATTGGTGAGCTGAGTTCGAATTCCAGTTGAATCCATTACATTCACTTACAGGCTAATACTATTGGGAAAGGTATGAATTCTCTTCTTCTCCCTACCCCAGCTATGGGTAAATAGCAGGACAGACCAGGTTGTATAGCCTTGGATGGCAACTGGTCTACCACAGAAAAAAATGGCAACCTACTGCAGAAAAAAAAGTCTGCCTCGTCAGTCATGTATTGAAAGATACATGATCACCTAAGCATGTATCACACATGGCACATAACTGACTGACTGGTAATCCTCAACAGTGTTCCATTCAGCATTTCCACTTGACTGTTTATCTGTGGGTTTTATGTCATAGATCTACTAGTAGCTATTTCTTTCTCTTGAAAACATCTATAACTTCTCTAACATAAAACTAGGTCCTCTCTAAGAATATATATAACTGGCATACCAAATATGCAAAATAACTTACTTAAGTCAATACAGTCATAGTGAGCATGTCCCTACACACAAAAGCAAAAGACAAATGACTATATTCATCAATGATAGTCAATAAATACTTGATTCCTTCTCGATTTTAAGGAAGCAGTTCCTTGAAATCTATATTCAATCTTTTGAAGGGTTTGTGTGGCTTTAATTAATTTACTTCCTGCTCTCACAAATCTTGGCTTTTCTATGGCACACACATTACATTTTTCAGTTATTCTCTTTACTTCCTCTGTTGAATAGGACAAATTTCTCAATCTGATAAAGTGTATCATTCTTGATGCTTCAGGATGACATAGATTATATAATTATTTAAGGTTGATATTTACAACAGAAGTGCAATGTACTTTTGTTAACACAAATGGGCATGCATTTTTGATGCCTGGTCAATATCTGATATGATACTTGTAAGTAGAAAGTTCAATTCTCTAATGATAGATTTTGTCATTTTTAGTCTTCAGAGCTTTCAAATGACAGACTTTAGTGAAATAACCTTCCTTCATGCAATTGTAGCAACTCATTCCTCAAGCTGGACACTTGCTTCTAGGGTAACTAGTGCCTCTGCAGAAAAAGAACCTTTCTTTTAAAAGGGATTTGCTTGCAGCAAATGTCTGAGAGTCCCCCTCCTTTTGATTTTCCTCTTGCTGAGAAGTTAAAATGTTAGTCTGGGATTCTGATACTGATGCCGCTTTTTGGGGTACCAGCAGAATAAGCTTCAGAATTTAAAATAGCCCTTTCCATAATTCACACTTGATTTCCAGCTTCTGTGGGAGTGATCATTTTGGTTTCAAGAAGTCTCTGACAAATAGGAGGTGCAGATAACCCAGAGATAAAGGCATCTCTAACAGCTTCCTCTTAGTAAACTTGAGTGGTAACATTTTGAATTTACAGTCTATCACCAGGGCATGCAATGCTTGAAGATATTGATCCAAGGTTTCTCCAGCCTGTAGAGTTCTTGTTACAAGTACATGCTTGGCATATATATCTCTCTTTTTTCTTGGACAAAACTCTCTTTAGAATGTTAATAGCTTCTTCAAACTTTGTACATTCACTGAACAGTTTGTATACATCAGACAATGTATAATTTATAAGAATATCCAACTCCTTACCTTCAATAAGCGTGAGGAAATTTAAAAATGTTCAGTATCAATGATTCCATGTTTTCTCTGCCCCGGGGATTTTACTATGTAGATCTAGAATTCTAAGTTTTAGTACCCTGTCCACATTAATATCCAGAGCAAAAACATTAGGGGTTAATAGAATGTTGTAAACTATAATTAGTTAGAAGTATTCACTAATATTGCTCTAGTATTATAGTCTTCAAGGTCAGGATTAGTTTAGACAGCCAGCTGTATCAACTGCTATTTATATGGTAGAGATTTTCATATGAATATAACAGAGAAAAAAGAACTAGCAATGATAAATGAAAGAGAAAGAAGGCAGGAAAATAACTGAAAGAGAAAAGAATTGACAATGATGAATGAAAGAGAAAAGAAGAATTGAAAATGATAAATGAAAGAGAAAAGAAGAATTGAAAATGATAAATGAAAGAGAAAAGAAGAACTGGCAATGATAAATAAAAAAGAGAAATACGAAAAAAAAGAATAACATATATGAATAAGTAGAATTAAACCAACCTTAACGACCATATATGCATCCATTGAAAAAAAAGTGGTAAAATGAATTCATGAATATATAGAAGAGCGAGAAAAGGAGAGGCTGAGTTGAGCAGTAGTAATAGGAATGTTTATGCTGAAAGGAAACATTAAGAAGGCAGAAGGCAAAGAAAGAGAGTGACACTTTTGAGAGGGGAAAATTATGATAGGAAGGAAAGGGAAAACAAAAGAGATTGGTGGGAAGAACAGTGCAGACATCATGGCACCTGACAGACCTTCAATATAATATTTTTCAGTTCCTGCAACAAAGATGTTTCCAAAGACTCTGACTGTCATTCACTCATTCCTTTATCCATTCTTTGAGAAACGCCAGGTGGATTTGTCTTTTAATAATAGCTTTCTTCAGCAGTGTTCTCTTGAAAACTTACATCTTGAAACAAATAAATCTAACAATTGTTTTCCTATTTAAGAACAATTTAGAATTTTAACAATTCATTACTCATTCAGCTATGCACATTAATATGTAGTTTAATTGCTGAAATAGAAGATAGACTTCTATGTATATAACTGGGAAGTGTTTATCTGTTTAATATACTGTGAAAACATAAAAACAAAATCAGGATATGGAATTAGTAAATACTTCAAATACCATGGTGTATGGATCAGTTATAACAAATTTAGTGTGGAAAATAAGGAAATTGAACATAGGTTAGAATAGGTTACTCTAGAGCTAGCTTGAACTGTAAAATTATGAAATGTTGCCTTGATATATGGATCAGTTAAATAAAAAAATTAGTATGGAAGATGAGGAAATTGAACATAGAATAGGCTGCACTACAGGTAGTTTGAACTGTAAAATGATGAGACTTTGCCTTGGTGTATGGATCAGTTATAACAAATTTAGTATAGAAGATAAGGAAATTGAATATAGAATAGGCTGCACTAGAGGTAGTTTGAACTGTAAAATGATGACACCTTGCCTTGGTGTATGGATCAGTTATAACAAATTTAGTATAGAAGATAAGGAAATTGAATATAGAATAGGCTGCACTAGAGGTAGTTGGAACTCGAAAAGGATGAAACCTTGCCTTGGTGTATGGGTCAATTATAATAAATTTAGTATAGGAGATAAAGAAATTGAATATAGAATAGGCTGCAAAAGAAGAAGATTCACCCAAGACTGGAAATTGCTACAAAACCAAAACATTAACCAGCAAACTCAAGTCATATTTTTAAATAACCTTGTCAAATCGTGACTTTCATATGAAAGCATGCATGGTGGCAAACCCTTTCAGAAATATCTTGACTGTTGACTGTAATATAATATCAGGAAAAACAGCACACACTATAAAGTGAAAATAAAATAAAATTGGCTGATATATATATTATATGGTTATGCATGTCTGTGTGTGTGCATGGGTATATAGGAGGGGAGCTCATATATATATATATATATATATATATATATATATATATAATATATATAAATGAGTACAGAAATATATATATATATATATATATATATATATATGTATGTATGCATATAACATAGATGGCATTCAATCCTGGGTTGTTCCCACACTGGTAAGTACTAGCGCAGTTAGCTGATGGTTATTTTTTGGTCACTTTGTTCTTTCATCTGCCCTGCTCATGTTGTGTCCTTTAATCACAGTGCAGTGAAGATAAAACTTTTGTCCACATTTAGGCATTGAACTGAGTTGGCTGCACCAAAAAAAGGACAAGAATGCTTCTGTCGGTGAAAATACAAATATATCAACAAATAACAAAAAAGACGACTGGGTTAATTTTCAATTGGTTCATATAATTGTTGACGCAACAAAATTAAGCCTTCCTGTTCAACTCTATCGTGACACTGTATCTCTTTTTTCTAAAACTTGGTGCGGGTCAAACATTCACATTCTTGGCGACAAAGTGTTCAACAGCTCCTTCATTTTCTGTTGATTCATCTCAGCCTTCTCCAATGACACTTCCTACTCCTGGCTTCAACTGATCATTCGATTTATATGCATCTCACCCAACTCTCACTAGCCCTCAAAGCTCATTACGTATTCCTCAATTAATTATTTTTCTCCAACACTGGAGACATGACATCGATCCTAATCAATAAACTGGTATTTCAAAACAATAAACTTTGTTTCTACATTTCTTGACAATCGGCCATGTTATCAAACAGTTATTTTCTCCTGTCAGCACTTTTTAAAAATATTTTCTAAGGAATTTCATTTTGTTTGTTGAATTCCAATAAATTTTTGGTTTTACTTAAATACAGTCCTCAGCCAATGTTGAGCCTCAAATACCAACACAGTCAACTTTTCAAAAACAGAATTATTTCCTTCAAATTTTTCTACTGTTTTACATTCAGGCCTTTTTTGAGAAGAAAAAACATTTCATTTGTTTTCCTCACTTCATATTTCAATTCCAGTTTCTCACTTTAACATTTTCTTGTTTAACGTCTTCAACTCTTTTAATGTTTCCATTTTATACAGTGTTTTTGCATGAACCTACTTTTAACCCAAATTCCAAACCACTAAAGTTACTATAGTGTCACCTTCCTTTCAACTACTGCCAGTGACCCATGATAGTCTCACATGTATATGTGTGTACAGTATGCATGTGTGTGTGTATATATATATATATATGCACAGGTATATGTTGATGGGCATGTACATGCGTATATGTGTGTACAAGTATAGAAAAAATAAAAAAGGCTCTAATATATGTATATGTCTAGGTGGATGTCAGTGTGTACATGTATGTACATGTGTATATATATATATATATATATATATATATATATATATATATATATATATATATATATATATATATATATATATATATACATATATATATATATATATATATATATATATATATTTAAGTCACACGACAGGCTGTTTCATTCTGGATCTCTGATATTGTGTCTAGCATGAAACAACCTGTCACCTCTTAGTAAATATAATGTTCACTTTTTATTTTACACATCTTTATTTCACTTTATCCCATAAATATATTTATTTCTTCATATATATATATATATATTTTTAATTCCCACCAGTCAAGATGCAAATAAGGCATTGAAACAAGAATGCATCTTTGTAGTGGGTAAATGTTGGTGTTCACATATAAAAATCTATAATAAATAATTATTGCTCTACTCTTGGTATTGAGCCCTCTTTTGTATTAATGCTGAGAATGTCAGAATTTACATTATTCTTGTTCTCACTACATCTGGATATATATATATATATATATATATATATATATATATATATATATATATTTTTTTCAGATATAGTGTATCTGTAAAGGAACAAAATGAATAAAAAATGACAAGAGAAAAAACTATTCAGAGTCAATGCATTTCATCCTCAGAGGGATTTTAGTCTCTCTGAGGATGAAGCATGTTAACTAATAGATTTTCATCTTGTCTCTTTTTATGCATATATATATATATATATATATATATATATATATATATATATATACATAAATAAATACTCTCAGCTATATACAACCACTTTCTAAAATCATTGATTAAAAATGTCTGAGTGAAGGCTGAGGGTCTGGGTAAAGACCACATCACTTGAGGACTATCAACAGTTACAACAACTAAAATGGATTGCACGTGTAACTTGAAGAAAAAATAATGATATAAGGAAGATGTTAACGTTTCACACTACTTCAAATAAAAATTTAGGAAGAAAACTCCCATCAACACTGTAAAGAGCAATAACAACTACCAGACTTGAGGAAAAATTGTTTTAAAAGAAAGATTTTATAAATTTCAATCAAAAGCAATACAGGATGCTTGGTGAATGAACACCAAATGTTTCCTTGTAGGGAAATGGCTAATATCAGCATTACCAATGCAGACAAATCTTTTCATGAGGATCACTCAAAATGTAAAATGTGACAGAAATCTGCAGAGACATTGGGATAGCAAAAGATGCTTTCCAAAAGCTAAACAAATTATTAAGAAACAGGAAAAAATTCAGTAGAAACAAAGAAGATTGCTGAACTGCAATCTAATATCAATCCTCTTATATGACAGTGAATGATGCATAATTTGGTGGTTCTCCAGAAAGATCCTGAGAATACAATGGATGAAACATGAGCAGTGAGGAAATTTTAAAGAAAATGGAAACAATAAGTAATAAAACTATAGATAATGGAAATTTTTGGTGAACATAATGAGGAAAGAGGGCTTGGAGAATTTGACACTCAGGACATATTGAAGGTAAGAGGGGTAGAAGAAAGCATGAAATTGTATTGGTTGACAGAATATGAACTGGGAAGGATGGTAAAGGAACAAGCATTGCTTAGAGCTCTGAATTATAGGAAGTTGTGGAGAGCCATGATCATTCTTGTCATGAAGGGATATGGCTGAAGGGAAAAAGGAGAAGTAGTTTTAACAGAACCAATAATATGTTTTGACTTTAAAATATTTTGTTTCTCAAGAAGAAATGCATTTTCTGCTACTATTGTTTTCTGGTTTTAACTTTCTCTGTAACACTTACATTTTGCAACCATTCTGTGTAAGACTAAAATTTCTCTTATTATTAATGTTTTGACAAGAATAATATTTGCACGCTTTATAAAAACAATTTCACTGAACAATTTTTTCCCCAACATACATGTTCTACTTTTCATAATCTTTTTATTCAGGAAAATTAGCAGTACTTAATAAAATTTATTTTGTTTTCTTTTGGGATGTTAAATCCAAATATAACTTGTGTCATTGTAAATGAACCTTAGCACATATAAATATGAAATCCTCATTTATTTCACCTTTTTTTATAAGTTATATGGAAAGTATTTTAAACATATATATTAAAAAGAAGAGAAGATAGGTGTCGCAAACGTTTTTGGTTGTAATGTGGATTTATTTAGAAAAAATATTATGCTTTGTTTTACATAATTTTACGACACGTGTTTCTGGTCTCGTGACCGTCTTCAGGTAAAAGTGGAGATTTCTACATATTATTAAAAATAATTAATTTTTCTTCATGTTCAATGTTAAATATTCTTGATATGAGACATTTTCTGAGGAAAAATTAATTATTATTTTTAATAATATGTGGAAGCTGTTTGAGTGGAACTTACATCTCACCAATGTAATATGATGAGAATAAAGGTGGTTTGCTACAATGTTCATGACATGGCGGGTCTTAGATATGATGGGTAGAACTGGCAAAACTAAAGAATGTATCTTGTTTGGACATTTACCTGGAAATAATGATACAGCAGCAAG